AGTAGAAGTAGTAGTAGTAGTAGTAGTAGAAGTAGTAGTAGTAGAAGTAGTAGTAGTAGTAGTAGAACCCTTTTATTGGGAAGAAGCCATTCAAATGAGGCAAGGGTCAGGTTTCAGGGGAGTTGAGTCTAGCTTTGTGATGTGATGTCTGCTGTCATCAGTTTGACTAAATTCTAGGAAGGCAAAGCCCAAAGGCAGAGCAAGAGAAGGGGACAAACTAAGGGATTTTCCATGAAACATTCTTATCCCAAACAGGGCAAAGGAACAGGTGAGTGTAGCTCAACCCCTCTGGGTGCTGCCTACTCCTAGGACCACACCTTGTTAGCACTGTTATCCAAGCAAGGAAAAAGACCAAGTCATGAGTCATGGCACTACCACTCCAGACTACATTGATCTTTCAGATCTGCTTGGTGCATTAGGACTTAAAGGTGTGTGCATTTGGAGTGAGTCCCCACACTGGATTATTTTATTATTTTAACCATGAATTTTACTTATTTTTCACCAGTGACATAAATCAGTTAAATAATACAAAAGCCCACTGAATGGTGGTGACCTTTGTATATTCTTAGAGCTATGGTTAAAAGTTGGAATTTAAGAATCTAGGACTGCATATTTTAAAATACCCTGTTTGTCTCCTATGCACATAGCTTAGTCTTTTCACTCAAACTTCCTCTAAAAATAATTATCAATATATTTTCATCACAGTAATGGAGCATGACTATAAAGAAAAGTCACTGATTTTTTGTCTTTCAAAATCACAGACATCAAGGAACATGTGCTCCCTCCCTGTGGGGTGAAATAAGCTTATTCTAAGGATGATCCACATTGAAAACTTAGTATTCCTATTTCTGAAAATGTCTGGAGGGAGTGAATACACTTTTTCTTATTCCTAGGACAGTAACACATTTTTAAAAAATACTATTTTCAGTAGCTGAAAWAATATTACACATACACTCTATTATTCATATGCCTRTAATTTAATTTTGCCTAATTATGTGTTCCTTTTTTTGCTATTAAACATTCTACTTGCACATAAACTATTAAAGTTGATCATGTTTTAAAATCTTTCACATTACTATCAAATTTCTTTGCAAAAGAATGATACATTTTGATATTTTGTCCATCATAGATTTTTAAATACTAGTTGTGATTTTTTAAAAAATTGCATTAAAATATTATTCATTTTGAAAAAAAAAATTTCCAATTTGCTCAGTACAGTATGAAATTTCAGCATTGAGTGGTATTTTACAAAGTATTGGATAATCAGGAGTCCCAAATATCTCATTTTATTTTAATTTATATTTTTCTACCAATAACTCTGAAAATTTCCTCCCCCTCCCCTTCCCCTTTCCCCTCCCCCTCCCTTCCTCTCCTTCTCCTTCTCCTTCTCCTTCTTCTTTTTTGTACTGTGGATTGACTCCAGGGATATTTTATCACTGAGCTACATACCCAGCTTTTTAAATTTTTTATCTTAAGAGAGGGTCTCACTAAGTTGTTTATGGCCTCACTAAGTTGCTGAGGCTGGCCTCAAACTTGTGATCCTTGTCTTAGCCTCCCAAATCGATGGGATTATAGGCATGCACCACTGCTCCTGGATATACTGAATATTTTTGAACATGTTTTTGGTCTATTCATATTTCTTTAATTCTGGTTCAACAYTCTGTTGTCTTTTTTAAAAAACTTGGGTATTTATTTTTGAAGGGGGGCTCATTGCTTTTGTTCATATAAACTGTCATCTAGAAATCACTTTAAACACTGATTTTTTAAAAAATTATATGATTTACTTAAAACCTTCAAATTCTGGTGTGAAATATTACAAGGATTTAAGATGTTTTCTTAAGCACTTTCATTTCTAATACCTGAATTATCTGCCTATGCCCTACCATGGAGATGCCCCGCGTTGGAGTCTGCTCATCATCCCCTTTCTTGTGAGTAGAACCTTTGGTTTCTAGCTGGGCAAATGGTAATGTGCAATGAACACCATATTTCCCATTCCTCAGATGTGGGAGGAATGCATGCCCTACCTCGGCTTCTGACCAAGGACATGTGGAGGCTGTATCCAAGGCTGCGGGGCCAAGATGTATAACATTACACAAGAAGAGTGTCTGGAAGAGTTGACCTATAATTCATCCACTCTCTTGTACGGCAGGGAGTCAGGGAGTCACAAAGTAATTCCTTTTCCTACTTTCATGGAAAGAGGTGAGGACTCCTCCATGGGAGTTAAAGTCAATAGCAGTTGAGGTTATTGTGCTGGGGTGGAAGAATACATGTTGGAGGGAAAGCTGATCTTAAGCCAGCTGCTCCCTATTTTGTCAGGTGTATCTTGACTTGGCTGCACGTACACACATGCATGTGAGCACACATGTGAGCACGCATAAGAAGAAGACCCAACAGAAATCCATTTACTGAAATCTGACCAAAAAAAAAAAAATTAAATAAGAAAACAGAAAAGGTACAGAGAAAATATTGTCTTGCTGACAATGTCTATGGTATTCTCCGCCCACTGTCCATTTCACAAGCTGTAAGATAACTCAACCCAATTTTTGACCAGAGAAGATTCTCGGGGTGTCCAGGCAAATATCAAGAAGGCCCAAAGAGATGTATCCTGAGAACTGCTGGAAAGATAGAACATGAAATAACTTCCTTCATTAAGAATGTCTAAAGAGAAAAAGAAAAAGGAAAGAAAAAAATGACTGGCCAAACCAAAGATATTTAAAAAAAGAATGGAAGGAAACATCTTACAACAATAAAATCTAAAATGGCACTGAAATAGGATTAAAAAAGACTAACCAGGCTGAAAATATAAAGGTTTTGTATTTGGGACTGCTGTCTGTTTCTATAGACTTACAAATAGGATACTGCTCAATACTTTATTTGCAATTATTTTTCTCATAGTATTCATTATAAATAGGGGAGCTTCTTTATCTATCTCTAAAGGCTATATGACTAACCAGCAAATATAGCTGATACACCAACCAAGAAAATAAATAAACAAAAAATTGCTGAAAATTACTAAAACTAATCTTGATTACTGGATGCTGTTGGCTCTGTAAAATTATGTTTAAAATGGGAGTTCATAATCTGCTTGAATCAAATGTATGAAATATGATATGTCAAGAGCTTTGTAATGTTTTGAACAACTAATAATAAATAAATAAATAAWWAATAAATAAAATTTAGCATATTTCAATCATGTAAGATTTTAGACGTTTCCATGTTAAAGTGCATTTAAGGTGTATGTTCTTTTTCCCGACAGAAATCTGTCATTAGCACCAGCTTTGTTCTAGTCAGCCATCATGATTCCAAAAAAGGAAAGGGTGGTCACACACCAGTGTAGTGGCTAAGAATAGTTACAGAGAGATTTTCATGAAGTCACTAAGCCGAACTAGATAGAAAAGGGTAAGTGTGGAAGATGTTGAAAAGTATCTTATACACACAACAAGACTGCCAGAAATAATGTAGCACAACACTGTGAAAAGGGAGGAAGAAATCTCACAGTGGATACATGACAGAGGTGCCGGGAGCTAAGGGAAGACAACATATTAGGTCACAGGAATGAAGGTGGTGGCATTAGGCCAGGGGGATTCGGTTACAGGCAGATATCAGCTTATGGGTGTGCGTGTGTAGAAGTCATGTGTGAGGCTGTGTGTTACTGAATAAGAAGGGGTAGAAAGTCAGTCTACAAGAGCACTTACGCTTGCGTAATTAAACTTGGGTCTATATATAATGAGGACTTCTGAAACTCATTCCATTAACTGCTGGCTCTTAATTAGGAATATGATAGGAAAACATATACAATGACATCGATTATGAAGACATAATGGAACTCCATTACAGGGCTGTGAAACGTGTGCTTCTTTCCATCCTGCTAGACCATGTTCCCTGCTGTACTGTACTGCAGTACTTCATCAATGAACAGAGGATGTGTGTAGACATTGTCCCTCTCATCAAGTGGCTTATACTAGGGCTTCAGAAATTTAAAAGGCTAATCACTTCAGATTTCTTCCATGTTATCAATGATTTGTTTTTCAAATAAAATCTGCTTACTCAAATAACTAATGTCCTRTTAACCAATTAAAGCTTTCAATTTGGGGGGTTTTGGTTTCGGTTTGTGAAAAGATCTTGTTAGGTTGCCCAGAATGGCCTCCAATTCCTGGGCTCAAAAGATCCTTAAGCCTCAGCCTCCTGAGTAGTTGGAACTATATATAAGTAGGTGCCACTGCACCAAGTCGTTTTCAATTTTGTTCACAAAAGGAGAGAGAATATTCTCTTCTTGCTTTGGGGTAAAGCCCTATCTAGAATATCTGGCACACAGCAAGTGCTCAGAATTATCATGGATATTCCAAGTTCTACAGCTTCATTCTGAGAGAAGAGTCCCATAAGCTTGTCAGATACTCACCACAGACTGACCCTCTCACTAATCTCCTTAAATGAGGTCTCTCTGGGAGGTAGCGATATTTGCATCCAAATATACTGAGGTTTGATGTGTGGTCTCCAAAAAACCGGAGTTGGCGGTATCTCTCCCCACATCGATAACAAAAATTAGTGTTACACTGTGAACAGGTCATGTGGTCACATCCTTCTGTTCTCTGGATGTGGATCTGTATTGGAGAAAGAGGCAAAGAGAAGAAAAGATTTTTAAAGTCTTTAGAAAGTAAAATCTGGCAACCTTTATTGGAACAACAYAGCTTTTACCAAAGTGGAAGTGTCACATGGCATCCCTTAGGCATCCAATTTACTTATAATAACACTCTGCAAGATTAATTTGTTACTAAGTACTTTTGTGTATGGAAACCTCAGGTACTCAAGTTGTTGGCTTATTTTGATCAACATATAAACAAACACTGCCCACAGAAGATTCATTTGTCTTTCCAGGCACACATCTAACTCAGTGGGCAAGAGAAAATTTAAAATGCTGTGAAAGTATTTTTAYCTTTTATTTTATGCTATGACCAGCAAGAATAAGGTGACTCAGGGGGAATAAGACAGGAGAGTTTTCCTTAAAAGAAAAGATTACATAAAAATTTCTGTGAATAAATATCAAGGAGCAGAAATTTCTCTTTGCTCAAAGAAATTATAACAAATACACATGTATATGCAATACCCTTTCACTACCTAATATTATTTRTAAATATGTTGTTTATAGGACTGTGAAATGCCTTCTATGCAATTCAAACCTTCTCCTACTGTTGCAGTCAAGCTACGTGTAGCCACAGCTTCACCCATAATGTAACAAGGACATTATTTTTGGACAGTCCATATACTCAATGTGTAGTCACTGTCTTAAGCACTCCTCAGTGCTTAAGATCATGTTATAATCAAGATATTGCTCTTTTTAGGTATAACTGGACTCTGAGTCCTCGTGGATCCTGTATCCATGGATCCTGGAGCCATCTTTTATTCCAATGTTACCCACTTTTCCTGTTAGGAGAAACATCATGAAAGAAACTCTAAATATACAACAATATTATTTCATCAAAAGACACATACTTTCGTTATACTGCCTAACTCTCATGAATAAAATGGGATCACCTAAAAATACAATTTCACCATAGAGTTGGCACTTACTACATTCAAGGGTCATCTTCACTCATTAAYATATATTTGCAGTGGTGGCACTGGGTTCTCATTCCATTATATAAAATGAAATATACCACACACGAAAGTCATTTGCTTAGAAATTTCATTGCAATTGTTCCCATTACCATTTTTACTACTATYAGCTTCTATCCATGATGTTGTTTTGGGATTTGTTTGTCAGTGAATGTTTTAATGCAATTGGGAACTTCACCCTTCATACCAGAGTCAAAACCTCCAGGAGTTATCTGGCTCCTGTCAGTAAAGCTTCAATCCCAATCTACAACATGACACATTTCATCTGAAATTATGCTCTCCTTCCCCTAATGCACACTGCAGTTCTCTGAACTAGCAGAAATGGGGTTAGAATCACATTTTTAAAAAAGCTGGTCAGTGATGTTAGAGACGGGATAAAATCATCCAGGTAAAAGAGATCTCTGAAAAGAAAAAGCTAAGAGATGAAAATGATTGCTCATTTCAAAACATAACTTATTTTATAGRTGTGAGCATAAAAATTTTGGAAGTTGTTATCTCCAATCACATGCCACATTTGTTTTGTGATTAAACTGCAATTTAAAGGAATTTTAAAAGGACTCATGAGACTAAAATAACAATGGATATCAATGATAAAATTTTCATCAGAAAAATACACACACATGTGAATTTATCTATCATATCCTAATCTACCTACCAATGAGTTTCTAGGTGAATCTGACAATTTTGAAGAATAGGTAAGTAGAGGGCAGCCTATTACAGGCAAGCAACGGACACATGGATAAATGAATGAACCACAAAAGAAAAGTCAGCCGAGTGGCCAGCAGGACCTCAGGTATCCAGAGTTGTTTTGTGAAGTGTAGGTTAACTGCCCGCTCTCTCCAGTGACTCTGGGCAGGTAATTCTCAGCCCCACAGGAMAGCGGAAAGAACCTGGGATTTGACTTCCGGTGGCCTGTGGGTCAGTACTAGCTCATCTAGCTACTTAAAATGAAGTCACTTACTTCCCGAGTCTCAGTTTTAATGATGTTCCTCTCATGAACCCATTGTTTGGCACACCCAAGTCAGATCAGTATAAAGGGTTCTCATCTACCTTTATCCACCTAAACATATGAGAAATCAAATAATTGGATAATATAACTACAGACCTCTTCCTTGCCAGGTGGTCTCTCTCCCTTTCTTGGACTGACACTGGACTAGAGTACCTGCAGATAGGCAAGGTGTTTGTGGTCAAGGGTAAATGAACATTTGTGCTCAAGGATTACAARCAAATTATTATTTTGGCAACAAAAACTACATTTCTTGCTATTGGCCACCCTATTCCTTTATAGTMATACTGATTTTTTAAAAATTTTATATGATAGTGCAGCTGTAGTGAATACAGGTTTTATGGGGCCTGAGGTTATTTAATTTCAGGGACCCTCTTTAAAGGAAAGAGTGCAATTACAAACAAAAATTAGATACAAGGCCAAAAATGGGGGCCGTGTAGGTAAGGGTCTCCAGAGCTCAAGCTTTTTAGCTTCCTAGTAAAACAGCACTTTCCTAGTGGTGCCTGTTTATTAGTGATTGTGTGTCCATATTAATTCAGCACAGTAGATGGCATGAAGGTATAACCTAGGCCAAAGTTCTACTGGACCCTTCAACCTTTCATGATTCTTTAAACCATCAGGGCACTAAGAAACACATCTGAAGATAATTGCTGTGCACCTCAAACATCTTACACTCAACTTTTCGATTATATTTTGCATTTGATCTTAAAATGGAAATGATACCACTTAACAGATTTCCTCATCAGATAGCAGTGTTGTATGGAGCCTATAAAGGGAAGAGGACTGATATCTGTTTAGAGTTTATTTTGTGCCAAGCATCCTACATACAAAGATTAGCTCTTTAAACTGCACCATGAAATGGACATTCTTATTCTTAATGGGAACTCAGAAAAGTGATTTGCTGAAATAACAATCCTAGTGAGTGGAGAAAAATTTCAAATTTCTTATGCTAAGCAACCTTTTATTGTGAAGTTAAAGTAAAACCAGAGGGTCAAAATATTCTTTGCTAATCAAGTGTAATCTTCACAGTAGAGGTTATGAGAYAAATACATCTGCTTTTCTAAGATTTTCTGCTTGTTTTTGCTGCTCTCTGGATCCACACTCTTCCTTCAAAATGGCATCAAAACTTTTTCTGATGGGAAACTTGTTCTTATAAGTTAAACTTGTCAATGATAGTATATATGCCTCAAAATTTTACATGCAGTTCTGTCATTTTATATCGGTTTATAATATTGCTTCACTGAGTTCTAAAATCTTTATGTGGCCTATTTATTATTCCATTTAAATACCCAAACTGCTATTTCTATTCTCTMTTTTAAGGTTTTTCCTTAGTACTAATATTGTTATTATATTATAATATTCTGAACATAGCATGAAACTAAAATATTATTGGTCCTACCACACAGGAATTGAAAAAGTAAGRTCTCATAAGGATGTTCAGTAATTTTGTACACTGTAGGAATATATGGTTCTATAGGTTAATTTGAATATTTTACACTCATAAAGKCAGGGATTTAATTGTGGAAAATGGTATCATGATTTACCAACTCTGAAGTACACAGTGCTTTCTTTAGTACTATTGTGGATTGAATATATCTTGATTATATATAAATATTTTATTATTTGATACCAATAGAGAAATGAACAGATATGACATCAGTTAGCATACAACAGAAAACACAACTTTTTTTGACACTTAGTGGGAAATAAATTTCAYATGCTAAATGAGTTCCTTGGGTATATCTTTGAGTGGCATGCTTGTGACAATGCCATCTTTGTTTTTGAAACATAAAGCTTTAAAATAAATTAAAATTATATTCACATATGGTTCATTTTTTTTCCCAAAACAAAACATTCATCAGCTTAGCTCACTAAAAAATAAACTAATTACCCAAGTGACTACAATTCAGCATCAAAATTCTGTTTTTACTTAAAAGATGGAAATAGACTAGGTATTTCTAATCATTAGCTTAAACTGAGTATTCACAAGCCATGGATGTTATGTGTATGTGTGTATGTGTGTGTGCGCGCTACTGGGCATTGAAACCAGGGCCTTGCTCACATCAGGCAAGTACCYTGCCACTGAGTTGCACCCCCAGCCATCCCAAATGCTACTTGATTTGTTATTACACACACATTTTCTTCACTCCATCAGGATAAGGATGGCTACTTAAAGAACTGAATACTTATGACCCAAATGTTGCTGATACCTCTGTATACTTAAAGTCATGAGATGAAATGTTCAGAATATGCCAGACATTTCTTCAGTAAGAGTCTGATAATAAGTTCACATTGTAGTAGACACAAAAAGACACAACTGTTTATTTTTGTGCCTATGATATTCTTCATCCCACAGACCAAAAACCAGTAATAAGAGATTAACCATTACACATATGAACATATATAAAATAGTACCAGTCTYCCTCAAGTTGTTTACATTTAGTTTAATAAAATGATCATATAGAATCTAAAAAATAAAAGTGGGATATAGTTTTTTATTTTCATAGAGATTCCACTTAATCAATGGGTGGAAGAAAATCTCCAAGGGCCCAGATCATGCATATCTTTTTCACTCCTTAATAAAGGGCCTTGCATTGGTCCCAATACACAGCATATTCTCAATTACTATTTATTAAAATAATAAATAAGCATTATCTAGGATCTCCTAACTCCAAAATTCAATGAACACACTTGTAATTTTTATTGTACTGCAGCTTCCAGTATTATTTAATCAGTCAATCACCATCCTTTCCAGACCTCTGATGGACTTGTGCTTTAGTGACATTGTTTTTCCAGGTTCTCTTCTGATCTCCCCCAGGTTGCTYGCCCTTCACCTATCCCTTATTCCCATCCACACGCATCATGTTGCACAATCTCCTTGGGTGATTGCTTCCACATTCACCTGGCTTTGACTCCCCTCCGCAGGATCTTTTTTCTTTATCTCCACTGTAGACCTAGCTCCTAAGCTTCAGACTCAAACAG